GGCATTTATACAATTGAACAACATATGGAACTCAAAACAACTGTCATCTAACTTCAAATTGAGAATCTTCAATACGAACGTCAAGACAGTTCTACTGTACGGAGCTGAAATGTGGAGAACTACTAAATCCATCATCAAGAAGGTACAAGTATTTATAAACTGTTGTCTACGCAAAATACTCGGCATCCATTGGCCGGATACTATCAGCAACAGCGTTTTATGGGAGAGGACGAACCAGCTTCCAGATGAAGAGGAAATTAGGAAAAGGCGTTGGAAGTGGATCGGACATACATTAAGGAAATCCCCAATGTGCATCACGAGGCAAGCCTTAACTTGGAATCCTGAAGGGAAGCGGAAAACAGAAAGGCCAAAGAACACATTATGTCGCGAAATAGAAGCAGATATGAAAAGGATGAATGTTAACTGGAATGAACTGGAAAGGACTGTCCTGGACAGAGTTGGATGGAGAATGCTGGTAGGCGACCTATTCTCCTCCATGAGGGGTAACAGGCGCAAGTAAGTCAGTTTGGGCCTTATAGTTCTGAACTCACATAAAAACCGTTGAGATTGAAATCAGAAGCTTCAGGTTTTGCTACATGAGATAAATCTTGAAAATGATGGTTGTATCTTATTTTACCTTGTTACTGGAGTTTATTACTGGCCTACGATGTTTGCGGATATAGGGACAAAACGATTGAGCTACTTCAACGAGATCAATTCTCTTTGAAATCGACAACGGCTATTTCCACACAAGATAACAAAATCCTGACGGATAACATAGAAAGGAAACGGTTTAAAAGGAACTTGATATTCGAAATAGGACAAGCAACACAAAACAAACTGGTATATATGTTGTTACTAAAGAAACAAATTATGACCTTAAAGCATACAGAAAGTTAGTGAACTAGAAATAGTGGCAACCAAGCGGATGGCAAGGATTATGAAGGAAATCGAATTAGAAGAAAATGTGTGAGTGATGATCGTTGACGAAGAGATTTTAGTAATTCTATAAATATTTGATAATCCTCATGATCACCTTATCACCTTCCCTTTGTCGAAAATATTTTGCTACTTCGGAAATAATATGGCCTCTGTTCGCTATCGTTTACTTAGTCGCGGTGATAACTCTTCAGAATCAGATCAAGTGCGCCATTAGAAAGAGAGAAGTGGGATTTTTCCTCGTCAAATCATTCTTTCAGTTTTGATTGGGTCCCAAGGTATAAAAGCTTCCTTGTTGCTTATTTAATTTGAATTTTCAGTTACAGTAACATAGGAGTTTCAGCCTTTTGTGTTCATTGTCTATCACTTTTAAAGCTTATTTCACGGATCAGTTTTCTTATTTCTGTCAATGATTTATTTTTTCCGAGCATCACGAGACTTTTTGCGTTTTTTTGTTCGTGGGCTCAATTAACGATTATAGTGGTGCAAACTAAAACATCCTTGTGGTAAACCTACACGCCTCTTCCCGATCCAGAATGAAACGCGATGAGATAACTGTGACAAGTGGCATCACATCGTGTGCAACGGAAACACAGTGGGTGTTTATGAGAGGTTTTTCAGACCGTCACAAAGTCTCTCTGAAATCGTGAGGCGATCGAGCTGAAAAACACAGATGAAATATCCACTTAGATAAACAGCCAGCAGCAAATATACAGCTGACAGATCTGGAAGAAGCAACAAGGGTAAATATATGTTCAGATTTAGATCTGAAAGAAAACATCAAGTTGGTGCAAGAATAAACCTATTTGAAGCAATCTGATTATAACTCTGTCTTCACAGTGAGAAACAGTTGCAACTCGGAAGTCCGCATTGAAAGTAGGTATTTACAGGTCCAGTTACCAAACAAAACGCAGGTTAATACCAGATATCTCTGGATATTAATGATCAGCAGAAAGCCTGCAAACTAAGGGATCTGAACCTTTAAAGAGACAAGTGGTAAAGATCTCACTAGCTGAGAGATGAAGGGAATCTTTAATGACAACCTCATAAACCGACTAAACCAGAAACTCAAAAGTGAAGAATATCATTCATGTCTAGTGCCATTTGAAAGTTTAAAAGATATTCAACTAACTCCCGGATTAGTATTAAGGAGATTAAATTCCGTTCTCTCAGAAAATTAAATAGAATGTGACAGTACCCGACTTTCAATACTGAAACGGTGCATAGAAGCCATCAGCACATCAGTGTGTCAACTGTCCTGACACTCACTAGATTCACACCAACACCCTTGACAAGGGAAGCGGGTCACTCTCTATCCCTACAGTCTTCAAACGGGGAGATAGAAAAGACTCAGACCACTACAGGCCAATCATCTAACCCTTAGAACTGTCGAAGTTAATGGGAGGACTGGTCAACAAACTAATGAAGTAATACATGAATGAAAACGATGAATTTCAGGAAGCCCAACAAGTGTTCAGAAAAGAAAGGTCCTGTACGTCCAATCTATTCACAGCATAGGAAAGCTGGACGAATTGCTGGAACCATACGATAGCTGTTCACGCAATGTTCCTCGATTTCTCAAGAGCCTTATACGCAGTACCTCATGTTTTTCAACTGCTCCACTTTATCCTGATTAAAAAATTGTCTAGGGAACAGGATATTTCTCACCTAGGTAAATACATTGCATGCGAGATGGAAGGTTTAAAAACCAGGCGTTTCACAAGGAACAGTCATAGGTTTACTTCCGCTGCTGATATTGATTAGCTATCTTAGCTTGACAGCACTGATCTGTCCAAACGATAAAAAAACTAGAGGTTCAAAAAAAGCGAAAACGATTTACTGGGGCTTCTAACGAACCATATAATAAAAGAGGAATGGGCAGTAGACAATAGGTTACAACTTAACCTGTCGTAATGTCATATCGTGAAAATTCCGCCTCATTTCACACAAAACACTCACACTGTTCATGGAGTCCACTCCCAATTGCCTATTCCGAATGTGATCTCAGTCTTGCAATCACTGGAGATGCAGCCAAGCCAAATGCAACTCTCCACTAAATGTCGAGACAAGTAGGCACGATCACCAGACAGATGTTCTCAAAACTGTCTAAGATGTATGAATTAATCAAACTTGAAGTAACCCCTCTTCAAAAGAGATATAAATTCCTTAGACCAGTTACAGAGATGAGCAACCAAGTGGTTGATAGGGATAAAGCATAAATCTTACGATGACAGACCCCAGCACCTGAAAATATTCACATCGGGCTGTAGAAGAGGTAGTTTGACAACGGCACACAATATACTAAGTACATCGAGGTATGCCAACGCGAGCATATTATTACAACATCACCACCACTTATCTCAAGACACTACTCGAAATATATTGCACATCAAGGCGAAGACTCAATTACGTTTTCACTTTTCTCATTCAGAGTTATCCTCATTCAAAACGCTCTCTCATGTGAGGTGACCACAGCACCCTCAATGGATAGCTTGAAGATGATACTTGATAAACACGCGCTCACTCATGGATTACCATCCCCATCTCGGACCAGCTGTACCTGATGCATGTATCACAGCTCACCTACTGTTGTCATTACTTCATATCAGCAACTAGTTTCCATACCGCTTATTGTCTTCTCCGTTCCATTATTATTCATTCTATTTTGTCTTCTTAAATAACACCGATTAGGTAAATAATTTATTTATTCTTGGGACGACCATCCTCTCTTAGCATACCTATCAACACTTTACCATTTTCATATTGCAACCAACCGACCATTTACCTGGTAATATGGTATCTGCTAGTATCCAGAATCCATACAGCTCATAGACAAACGCACTCACTGGAATCTCATGATATACAAATCCACAAATAACTACTAAACTAACCAGAACTATTGCAGTTGACTGGTTAAAATGCCACCCATTGGAAATCACCAAATACCTGCGACCGTAATGAAATAGCAAGAAGTGAGCACAAAGACGTTAATCGGTTTATCTAAGCTCGTGATAAAGATATTGAAGAAACCAAATTTGAGGAAAATTTGTTAGTAGCTATCGTTCGTAAATAAGTGTTAGCAAGTCTAATAAAGTTTGATTATTCTTTTGATCGCCTTAGAAGATTTACTTTTTCTAATTTTAATTATAGAAGGGGTTTTGTGGAGATTTAGTATTTATTATAGTTGAAAGCGTGAGTCAATTTCTAATTTTATTCAAATAATTGTATCTTTATCTATACTCTTTATATTCTTCAGAAAGTATTCCTGTTTTGTAGTTTATATTTAGTGATTGAATATTGATCTGTATATTTTCTTCTGTGAAGTACTTTATAGTGTTATAGTTTATAATCTAGCGATACTTCAAGCAGTCGTAGTAGTAACTTTTTTAAGAAGTATGATATTTTGTATAAGTTGTTGTCAATTATGAGTGTAATTTGTAAATTCCAAGTATTTTCCTAGTTGAATTTACGAGTCAATTGAAGCTAGACCACTATGGAAAACGTGGAAGCACTGGACAGCCGTTTCGTTCTATTGGGGGACTCCTCAGCAGTACGTATCCACGATCCCGCCTCTCGAGATTCGAACCCAGGACCTATCAGTCTCGCATGCGAGCAGTAAAGGTATACAATTTGCAAGAATTTAAAGAAGTAAGTTATAAGTATTAACTATCCTCAATTTGTCCTATAACTTTTATAAGTTGTGTAATATATTCGTAAAAACTATTATAAAATTGATTTATACGAATATTCGTTAAAGTTAGAAAGAATAGTTTTACAAAAATTGGGCGCCTCGTATAGAGAAGTCATTATATGTGAAAAAATTATTATATTTGAAATAGTCTTAGCGACTGAAATTTAAATAATTCCAACGTTTCGTCTACCTAACTTGTCTGGACTTTTTCAGGGAAATAATCAAAATCATCAAAGAAATATATGAAACTGATGAAAACAGAAAAAAATTTATTTGATTATTAAAATATTACTGAAAACAAATAATCAATATTTTTTTTTATAAAAAAAAGTATATTGAAAAATAAAATTTCATTTTTGTCAAACTGATATTATTTTAAAAATCGAATTAAAATATTATTAACAAACCATTTATTAGTAAAATTTAGATGTTCACCACTTTTTTCAATAAGATGTAAATCACCTCTTTTATCAAGTACTTGAAGACCTAAACGATCCTAAAGTATAAGAATATATAATAAGTGATTAGATTACTTATATAATAGTTACCATGTAAATTAAATTAATGGAGAATCTTAAAGAGGATCTTGATAGAAGTTATAAAAGATCCGATGAAATTATTCAGAGATGATATTCCTTGAAGGAATATATGGTTTACAATGAAGATGAAAAGGATAGTGAATTTGATTTGAATTATATTTCAATAATCTGTTCATTGATTTCTATGTATAATTCTACTTTATCTATTAATCTTAATGGATAAATACGAAAAACAAAAGTCAGTTATTATCTTACTATTAACTGAAACTTTATCTGATTCATTTATATGACAAACTAATTATTTAAGTCTTTTCGAATGCATTCAGTTGACACATTGAACCCTACTGACTTTGTTCAATCGCTTCACTAATTTAATGATCTAAACCAATAATCATATCCGTTTAATGTGGGATACAACTTAAAGAGAATTTACTTACGTACGTCTGTCACTCCCAACGGAGTATAGGCCGTCGACTAGCATTCTCCAACCCACTCTGTCCTGGGCCTCCCTTTTCTAGCTCAATCCAATTTTTGTTGATTCTTCTCATATCTGTCTCCATTTCTCGGCGTAATGTGTTCTTTGTTCTTCCTCTTCTGCTGTTGCCCTCAGGAATCAATGTGAGGGCTTGCCTTGTGATGCAGTTGGGTGATTTCTTCAATGTGTGTCCTATCCACTTGGAGCGCTTATTCCTAATTCCTTCCTCCGCTAAAATGTAGTTCGTTCTCTCACACAGTAGGTAGTTGCTGATAGTATCTGGCCAACGGATCCGAAGTATTTTGCGTAGACAACTGATAGTAAACACTTGTATCTTCTGGATGATGGCTTATGTAGTTTTACAGGTTTCCTTTCGATACAGAAGAACTGTCTTCACATTTGTATTGGAAATTCTGATCTTGATGTTGGTTGACAATTGTTTTGAGTTCCAGATGTTCTTCAGTTGTAAATATGCTGCCCCTGCTTTGCTGATCCGTGCTTTCACATCTGCACCAGATCCACCGTGTTCATCAATGGTCCTGCCCAGATATGTAATGTTTTTTATATCCCCCAAAGCATTTCCGTCAAGTGTAATTCGACTGGTACATGCTGTATTGCATCGGAGAATCATGCTTTCCTTTTGTGTATATTGAGACCTACTGCTGCTGAGGCTGCTGTTAAAGGGTAATACTAGCTATAAAAAGGACATATCGATCTCATATGTCCGATTAACTGACTATTTCAGCTGTTATATATCAACATCATCTAAACTATATTGATTGTTTAAGAGAATCCAAGTTTTTTTTAGAATTTCTTAATTTGTTGTGAGGATCAATTATCAGAAAAACTTTTTCAAACTATGATCAGTTTCACTATTACTCTTTATTATTATTGTGAAATTTTATGATTTGACTATTAGGAAGGAAAGTTTTATAAAACAAGGGTTCAGTTAGTATAGTTGAATTGATTACTTACTTCAGTGTATAGAACACTATCTCGTAGCTTTACTATATGCGATGATGATCCAGTACGATAGAATCCGAACCACTGAAGTAAAAGTTAATTCATAAATATTAAGTAAGTTATTTTATAAATTCTCAAAATTATATGTATAAATACGTTAGATGTATAGAGTGAATTCAAGAAATGCAGATAATTATTGTATTATTTAAAACCAATGAGCTTCCATTAGTATGACATTAAATCATATTGTAGTGGACGAGAACACGGGCGTGGACAATCGAATGTATGAATGAATGCACAAATTAGAGACCATCTCACTAAATTCTGATAACCATACAGTAAACAGTTAATTTGCAAAATAACAATCAATTATCTCCATGTTGACTGTTCCTTCTGCAAATATCAGTCCATCTTCTCTCATTTCATTATTCATGCATTTTCGTATCAATTGCGCTTCATTTCAGTTCTTTCCTTATCGATCTCCTGCCAAAATACATTCTATGTCTGACCATCACCATATACTACTTATGTGGATATAAGTAGACCACACCACAATATTTTTCAGATAAACGTATTAGCTTTCACTGATGAACGCCAAGTAATATGATTAGTAAATTTCCATATACTTTAGTTCTAATTAGATAGATTAATAAATACATGTAAGAGTAGAATTGTTGGCAAGACTATAATTTATGTATGAATCATTGAGATATAAGATAACAAGTCTTAGATTTTAATGCGAAATTCATTAATCCATATGCCTAAATAGCATTTCAGCACTTTAGCTGGTGTCATTTCATGATGAGAACTTTAACACCAATTCCTAACACTAACTTATAATTCTAACTCCTAATCTTAATTCCTCACAATGACTTAAAACTTTTTTGTGACCCTATTAAGTAGGTGTATTTTCTCATTTTAGCTCTTGTCAAAGGTCATCCATATATTGTAGTCTCACCGAATCATCCTAGGATTTCATTTAATATTTATCTTGACAAATAATCTGACACAGAAGGTATAACATGTTAGTTACATATAAATTAATACCGAAATTAACGAATACTTACTAAACTCACTATATTCTAATCATAACTCTTAGTAAAGATATACGTGATTAGACCTTACTGTGAAGTAATATACTGTTCAGCATTCAGTAACTTATTTGTAAGCGTAACTAATTTATCACTTTGAAGGTGATTTGATAGTAACGTCATATCTTAAAGCTGAATTTGGCCAATCGTGAACTGAAAATATCAAATATTTTCTCAAAAATATAATATTGATAAACGAGTATTTACGATATTTATATTTAAGATGAGACAACTAGTAACTTAAAGTATACATATATATATATATATATATATATATATATATATATATATATATATATATATATATGTACATTTCTATACAACGCAGTATTTATACTTACTGATGATTCGCTGGGAAGTACAACGGTGTCGTTGGTAAACTTCACCAATACTAATCGCCGAATTTTCTTCAGATTTTCACGATACGTTTCGTTTACTCGCTTAAAAGGAAAAAAAAACTTTAAGATCATTAAAGTCTATGTACGTTTTGTTAAAAGGACGGTTTTTTAACTGATTTTTTCAAAGTTACTGAAATCATAAAGTGATAAAGTGACAACTAGTCAATACTTTTCCAGTAAATTCTATGGAAATTTACAGAAAGAAATGTACTCAGTAGCAACTGAATATCGAAAATGAAGTGGAAGTCTGAAGTTGAGAAAACGTTCACATATCCATAAGCAGATTAATCATACAGTAATTTTTCAAGATATATTTATTTTATTTAGCTTTAAATTCATCCTTGCTTAACACCGAATAACACAAGTTTGCGAACTAATTGGTTATAATATGCTAAATAATAAGAGAATCTGTGATACCCTGGTGCATTATAGGATATTCGCACCTACGAGTTGTTTACATCTGGCTGTAATTAAGAGGAAAAATAATAAAAACATTACATTCTAAAATAATTACGACCTAGATGTTTTGATATTTGAAACAGCCACTGATGCACGGTGATTATTATCAGAATAATATTACGTGCATTGCTTTCTAAACACTGGAGATATATGTAATTCTTATAAGATAAAAATTATTTTTAAAGACATTTTTTTGTTATTCACTTTTGATTTAATTGTTTGAACTACCAGTTCAGTAGCTAAACAAGGATCTTTCATCAGTCTCCAAGTATTTGTATTAAAAGGAAAGTGAAATTTCTTCGCCTGTGTATATCGACATCAAAAGTTTGTAAAACCTTTAAATGTTTTAGAATTATAATTCCAGTTAGATGAATTCATTCCTGACTAATAATGCACTTACATTTTCCTGATTAATATCAGCTAAAAATTGAGAATATTTGCGATAATCATTTTCTTTAAATGGATCATGCCAATATTGTGCTGGAACATAGCTAGTTATGTAATAAACAAAATGAAGAAAAATTAATGTTTAATAACATGCCTGTGTATATAAATATGCAACAATTTTTAATGTTTTGATTTAAAGTGACTTTCAGATTACTTACTTACTTACGCCTCATGAAGGAGCATAGGACGCCCACCAGCATTCTCCATCCAACTCTGTCCTGGGCAATCCTTTCCAGTTCATTCCAGTTGTTTTTCATCCTTTTCATACCTGCTTACATTTCCCGATGTAGTATGTTTTTTTAGCCTTCCTCTTTTCCGCTTCCCTTCAGGATTCCAATTTAAGGCTTGCCGCGTGATGCAGTTTGGTGATTTCCTCAATGTATGTCCTATCTACTTCAAAAGGCTTTTCCTAATTTCCTCTTCATCTGGAAGCTGTCTTGTCCTCTCCCACTGTAGACTAATGCTGATGGTATTCGGTCAATGGAAATTCAGTATCATATGTAGACAATTGTTCATAAATACTTGTACCTTCTTGATGATGGATTTAGTAGTTCTCCACATTTCAGCTCCGTACAGTAGAACTGTCTTGACGTTCGTATTGAAGATTCTCAATTTGAAGTTAGATGACAGTTGTTTTGAGATCCATATGTTGTTCAATTGTATAAATGCCGTCCTTGCTTTGCCAATCCTCACCGTTACATGTGCATTAGATCCTCCTTGTTCATTAATGATGCTCCCCTGATACGTGAATGTTTCCACTTCTTCCAGAGTTTCTCCATCAAGTGTGATTGGGTTGGTGTTCTCCGTGTTGTATTTGAGAATCTTGCTTTTTCCTTTGTGCATGTTGAGGCTTATCGATGCAGAAGCTGCTGCTACATTTGCTGTCTTCATCTGTATTTGTTCGTGCTTATGAAATAGGTGGGCTATGTCATCTGCGAAGTCCAAATCGTCTTTCAGATTAGTTTAAGAAAATCTTTTGATATTCAGATTTAATATTTTTACTTATGTTACTATGTAAGATATTAAGAAAGGCATTTAGAACGATCTCGAATGAATATTTTATCAGATTGTTTTCATTATAATTTAAAGGATAAACATAAAGAAATGATTTAGAAAACTAGTCCACACGTAGCATGCATTGTATTTAATATCATCAAAATAATTTACCCAAAAAAGTATAAACAGAAAATTAAGTATGTCTTTAATTGATATATTTAATAATAATCCATAAACACTAAAACCTATCAATTAAGCAGTGTAGTTTCCGACTATGGTGCTGGATTAGTTGTGCTGAAGTCAGGATGTACGCATATATTTGGGGCAGGAAGTCCATGTTAAAAAGTTTCTTCAGATATTAAGCAACAAAATGAATTATTAAAATTAATGAATTTAAATAGACACTTCAAAATAATTTCTCTGAATCTTACCGACTTTGAATATATTCAGTATACACTATATCAGATAGAAACTTATTTAACCATAAGCAATAGGGAATAAAGCCATTATTAATGCATTTTGGTATCCCAAATATACCCTGTTGAAGTCCGCCAATAGAAAAAACTGTGCCGACGTTTGATAAGTTGCATTTTTGGGCTAACGCTCTAACAAGTAATCCGCCTTGTGATATACCAATCATGTGAAAACCATTGGAGAGTTTTTTATCTTTATGTATCATGCCACAAACATAATCTAGTTGCTCATTAATCGACCGAAATACAGTATCTCTAACATCCTATATAAAAAATTAAGAAAAACATGATTAAAGATTGACAGCCTATTGAATAATGAGGAGGAAAATTGTTTTATATTATTAAAATCTGACACGAATTTGATTGAAGGTCAAAAAAACGTTAAATAAAAGGAATAGCTGAATTCCATCATATTCTTATAAAATACTCAATAGTTATCTTTGCATTATGAATTTTAGATACTGGACCAATGTTTGTTACAGATTAGTAACGAATTATACAAAAATCGACTTACGGCCGAAATCTACCGTACGCTAAAAGTATGCAGATTTTAACAAAATCATTTTGGCATAAATAAATTCTTCAGACGGTATTTGATTTCCAAATAAAAAAGGTGAACTCATATATATACTTTGCACGGGATAACTAAAACACAGTGAACCCAAACTAAATAGAAAAGTTTAGATTCGAAAGAGATGATGTTGTCTTCTGTTCACGAAGAAAATGATCCTCCCGTGCAGAAAAGTGCACTGATGTTGACCGAAAAGAATAAAAAGCACGTGTAGGATGGGAATCTCATGGATCCAAGATCATCTAAGAATCATTCAAAACAAACAGGGGTGGGATCACGATGAATGTTATCCAAGATTATGAACCCGACAATGACAGCAACGACAACGATAAGGATCAGTTTTACGAGAGGTTGCAATCGACCATAGTGAAGTGCTCATAAAAGTACCTGACCACTCTAATGGGAGACCTAAACGTCATAGTCGGAAAGGACAACACAGGGTATGAAGATATTATGGCACGACATGAGCTCAGAGGAAGGAACGAGAATGGTAACAGATTTGAAAATTTATGTACATTCAACAAAATGGTTACACAAGGCTCTGAATTCCTTCAAAAACACATGCACAAAGCTACATGAGTCTCATAAGATCATACTACACAGAACCTTATCGATCATATTTGTATCATTAAAAAATTCAGAAAGAGAATGGAAGACATGAGAACCAGGAGAGGAGCTTACCTAGCTGCATATCGCCGTCTAGTGGTTGCCAACATGAAAATGAAGCTATATAAACACTGGACAGCTAGAGAAACAGAGTTTCAAAAGTTCAATACAACCTCCCTGCAACATATGACAAACTCAGTGAAATCAAGTTGACTATCAGCAACTGGTTGCAAGACTTACAAGATCTCTTAGAAGAAGAAGAAATGACTATGAAGGACAACTAGAAGGAGAATCAAAGTAACTTTAACCTCAACAAGAAGAAAATAACTAACGACATCTGAACAAGAACAGAAAAAGTCAAGGTGCAAGCTGAATACACAGAAGCGAATAAGCAAGTGAAGAGGAGCTTTAAAGCCAACAAACAGAAATACCTGAAACCCCTAACAACTACAGTGGAGAAAGCTGCGAGAGAAGGAAATATCAAACGACCATATGATTTAACGAAGAAACTGACAGGGAAATATAGTAAACCAGAGAGACTGGTCAGGGACAAAGAAGACAGGCCAATCACTGAGATTCAAGAACAGAGGGACAGATGGGTGGAACGTTTTTAAGCAAACTTCATTAAATCCATTGGACATCAAAGCAGCATCTACAGATATTCCCATAGATGTCACTTCACCAACGATAGAAGAAATCAGGATGGGCATTAAACAAATGAAGTGTGAGAAAGCACCAAAACTTGACAACATGCCAACTGAAACACTAAAGTCGGACACAGAGGTAACTGAAAACATGCTCCACGTTCTATTCAGGAAGATTTGGGGGGAAGAATAATTTCTTTTTTACTTTTTCAATTTGTTATATTGCTTAAAAAGCTTTACTTCACCCAGAAACCATATAACCACTCAGCACTGTGAGAAAATACATATTTGAAAATAAATGCGCCAAAAAATATGCATCAGACAAACCGCCTTCTCATTTTTGACTTTATCCTTCAATATATGTAATGATTATATAATATGGAAACCCACTCACATGCTTATGATACGTTCTTCAAGTAAGTACATAACTCTTGTGATTTTGGTACTTCAAGTTCTTTCTATGTCATTCAATAAACTGCTTTCTGTTCCATACAAAAATCCTCATATCATAACAAATGTATCAGTTAATAAGTATGCTCATATGTACTGAAATACAGATTTAGTTGCTTAATATGATCTCGTCATAATATAACCTTTTAATGAATAGGACACTTCTGAAATCTGCATTATTATGTTTGAGAGAGTGCTGCTTATTTTGCACACCAAATCTTAAATAAATTTCAAGAACTCAGCATTATTTTTACATTTGAAGGACCAGGTTCCGTATTTGTGCCCTCAAAATAGTAAGATTAGAGAACCTTTTTTGAAAAGAAATGGACTAACTAATTTTAGTAAAACTTATTTATTCAAAATTAGTTGTTTTTATAATGAGCAATCATTAATAACCATCTTATTAGGCCTTGATTTAACGTCAGTTAACAATGATTTTAGTATCCTAAGTAACTCTAGATCGAGAAAAATGGTAAAATTATATTACACAGGCATTAAAACGTGGAAAATGTACAATAGGATGCAACGACTTCGTAGTACCTCTGCGTTGTGTGCTATATAAGTCAATCCAAAGGGCATTTGTCAGAATTCACACAACCCAAATGAGATCGTAAATGCTGTACTAGGCGTGTTCTTAGGCGCCACTGGAATGTGATAATGGTAAGATCTGATTATCCTTTGAAAAAATGGTGGTATCTTTTATATCATACTATTGTCGTGTATCTATGGTATCGAATAGTGATCAGTTACTTATTGTCTATTAAGAATGCGATAATTTCGCGATTTATCTGTTCTTTTTCGGGATAATGTGAGATGATGACTAAAAACTGCTGAAAGGGCATATGATGCCTAAATATATAAAACTGTTAAGTTTGTTTATAGCAACACCAACGCGTCTAGGATAGAGGCGTGTAGGATTTGCTAAGATTGTGGGTCCACCAATAAAAATGTGACATACAATGCTGTGCTTCCAATGTTTTTGTCTAGAAATTGATTGTAACCGGTTGGGAACACATTTTAACAGCTTGGTATACTTGTCAACGTTGAGCTGTTTCTTAACTACTAGGCGCATGCATTTTTCCGCGGATGTCGTTCATCTCATGTCAACGTTTCAACGGGTGCATGCTAGCTCATGGCATTTTATGTCTACTATTAGCCTACGAAACTGTAAGAATTCGATGCCGACTATAGGGGTCGAGATTTCGGCTGTGATAAAGTTCCAGAGTAATAAGTTATTGTTATCGAATACTGGTATTATGTGTCATCTCCTGTGAGTTCTTAAAAAGAAGCAATTAGCTGTTCTTTGTTGATTAGACAGTGAATCATGTTTTTTTATCCGTACGATGCAAAAAATGACTATACAGAGGGCTATGATTGATGACTGTGGCCGTAACTAGTCGTCGACTGTTCCATTTTCAATGTTGTTGAAGCCAGGTAAACATGGTTTCGTCTACCTTCTAACAGTGGTGTCAAATTTAACCTGACACCAGAAAGCTTTAGGGCAATTAGTGTGGCAGAACGGTTTCGGCTATTTATTAGCCAAACTTTTGGAGGTTCGTTTAAGGTAAACAATTATATCAATGAACTGCTAGTAGCCAGTGCGAAGGTTAACGGTCATCTTCAACAGTCAAAACAGTTATTTATGGGATTTTACGTACACGCCATTTCTTTTAACACCGAAAAATGTTAGTATGGAAAAGTGATTTCTTGAGATATCATTCCAGTTCCGATAGACGTTGCTCCTAACCGAAACCATCTGATATCCGAATCTCAGAAGAAAGTAAGACGGTTTTCCAGGCCAATAAATAATTCTAAACAATTCGTCTCAGACTGTGCATGAATATTACAAACACCAACCAACGCCTTAAGAAGACGTTACTGGATGTCACGTCTCAGTAGAGACTCTTCGTGGTAGCCCTGAAGGAAAAGATAATACTCGTTCAACGAGAAAGGAAAGCGCTATTAGTCATCATAACTGACGCATCGAACGTGGCAGGAGAAGCTGTGTTGCGGTAGTTGAAATGTGAAATGGGAGAACTACTTCCATTCGCTTTCGAAGAGGCTGAATTTTACATGGGTGGGGATCATAAAATTTATGAAAGAATTGCCGGCAATTCACTTGGTAATAAGACATTATCGACACACTGTAGAAGGCACCACTTTCACTGTGCATACGGACAATAAAACTCTCACAAGGGCATTAACTGTCAAGCAAAATTATTTGAAACAAGAAATCCGACAATAAGAATTTGTTTCATAATTGACGTCCAGCTTACTACACGTTAAAGGGAACAATATTGACGTAACCAATGCATTGTACAGGATAGCGACAAGCACCCTTAAAACAACTAGGACAGACCATTATAAACTAGCCAATTTAAAAATAGCACACTTCAAGTTATCCGAATCAAAATCTTTCGTCATAACTCCCAAAATACTCACAACTGCTACATTCTTTGATGATAAACTAACGTATAATGTTTTAATGGGCCAAACACGACCGTTGATTTTGACTTCATTAAAAAGTAAAGTTTTTAAAACTACACACATTAGCTCACACTGGAATAAGGGCCACCGTTAGACCGGCAAGTGAAGGTTTCATATGACTCAACTTTATCAACAAACATGATAACTGACAGAGAAACACAAATTGAAAGTGGCCCCCACCAAAGACTGAAAGATCTCATAATACAACGTATTTGCATCTCGAATGAAACATGATGACCAGGACAAGTCACAGGCTATGGCGGACCACTTTAGAGCAATTTTCACCCAAAAGCCTCGTCTAGACGTACGACTAGACCAAAATTCAAATTCACAGAATTTGCTGCTCAATGTGGACCTTGATTAAGATGACGTACCAAAGAATCTTAGCACTTTAGACACGAGACAATCAAATACACCGTGAAATCTTGAGAAAAACTGCATATAACTTCACTTTCACACTCACTAAGGCATTAAATGTGTCACTAGACAGAATTGGATTACGTTTAGGGTTGAAGGATCTTATGGTCACTCCGATTCATGATTCAGTATCAAGACAACTTCCATCAAACTGCAGATTTGTCATTCTCACCAACGTCATAATCACAATACTAGAAAGAATAATCACAAAGGCCATAGCAATATTCGAGAAAATCAGAAACTTGTCAAAAAGTGAACGAGGTTTCAGGAATGGATTATCTTGCATAACAAACCACTTGACAACAGGAGGAAAATTGACAGTTTCTAGAAAATTAGAAAACAGTAGATATCAGCGAAGCATTTGATAAAGTGCCAAATAAAAAGACGTCTTTTGATGCTGAACAATATGGAAAGTGCCAAACCTATTCTAAAAAGGAATGATAATTTCGTGAAAGGTCACAAACAGCAAGTAAGAACAAATTACGAACGTTCCTCCTGGTAATCAGCACTTGAGGAAGTACCACAATGCTGTGTTCTGTATCCTTTGCATTTTATACAGTGTGTAAATGAAATCCCAAGTGCAGTTGAGCAACCAATCTACTCTACATGGTTGATGTAATACGTTGGCATTAAATAACAGAAGACGGAGATGTATGTGCTTCTCTGGTGGACTTAGATGTACTGATTTTATGATTCATGCTTTTCAACACTGCAAAGTGAGTCTGTATTTGCACTGACACAAAAGTAAAGAGACACAGCGTAGAGTAACAGTCGCCGTCCGTAGTCAAAACTCACCATGATCTTCTAGTAAGACTGAGCCATGAGCTTGAGGCCATGGCACAATATCGTGAGGTTGTAGCTAAGGAGACTACAACTTTATGAACTTTTAAATAGTCATTCACAAAGTTGAATCCTAATTTATTCACTACAATAAATACTGCCTAGGTGGGATTTAATTTTGAAAACTGCTTTCAGGCTCCACGCTCCTGTTTATAAAGCGGCTTGAATACCTTGAATAAGCTACAGGAAGCAGTAACTCGTGCAATTTCAGGAATCCAAGGTTTATGATGCACATATTGGCTCGAGAAGTTAGACCATTTTACTCTGTTCTATCGCAGATTAAAAGGTGATACACGGATCACTAGAAAACGATTTTAAGTATGAAATATTTTCTCGTTTTCTTCCCGAAAACAAGAAATCGGAGAAAATTCAAATCAAAGTACAAAAAGCTAAGAAAGAAAAAAGCTTGTGTCATACAAGTTTTCACCGAGTCGTCAAATCTTGAAACCTTTCACACAAAGAAGTGGAGTACATTTCTTCGAATAACGCATGCAAGAGAAGACTAGACACTCTAAAAAGCTTAATGGAAAACGACAATCTTAATACGTAAACCTTCTGCCCTAAATATTCAAATACGATACTGAAATCTCAATCTGTCTGAAATAGCACATGACTGACCTAGAAATAACACAGCGACAGAAACGATGTGTATCCCGCAGCAACAGACCAGCTGCATTATTGCGTATTCCATAACGGATGATATACAACGGCCGTTACAACTTGAGCATAATGATCACTATAGAAGTACTCCAGTTGACTAGTATGTTAAGGTGGATACTATAAAATTCAATATATATAAGCTTGCTTTCGTAGGTATCAACGATACCAACGATAAGAGAAATGTGTTGACGTTCTATTTCATCCAACAACTTAAATAACAAGTAGTAATGTTACCAACACCTATTCGAATGTCTACCACTGATTCAGAAACAGAAACCAAATCACACAGACATGTCGACCAGACATAAAAGTTTTCAGAAACTGGTATTTTAGATTGTTTCCGTAACGTTTATATTTTTCACTAATTTTTAGTCTCAATAATCAAACTCACCTCATGATTATAACCGTTAACTATAGTTAATATAATTATAATTACATGATGACAATATAACAAGTTATCTGATTGTACAACTTAGCGACAAAAATGGACGCATTCGAAAGCAATACTTATTGTATACCTCTTTAGCAAAACTGTTCGTTGAGATGGACTTTACATAGGTTCCAGGTATCGCACGTTTAATCATCTCGGCTAGCAACCCCATTCCATAGGAGGTTCCGTGGTCACCTTTATAAATATAAACAAATATTTAAATACAAACTCATTCCGTGCCAGATAAGGACTGGTAATTTTTCGGAAAAAATCCATGGATAATTAGAAAAAAGTAAAATCCACGTTAACACAGTGTACATAACAAAAATATATTGACCTTGGAGTAGTACATATGGTTCAAAATAAAAATAAAATTCTGATTTCAATATCTTTAACGATTGCTGATAATCAGGTCAGGTATCGTAACTGTGAGACTCGTGTCCTGTAATTTTACCAAATAAAGTCGTCATAATTAGGGCTTTCTTCTAAGTACGCAGCTTTGATACGATCGACGCTGATTCCAACGGTAATTCTGTTCTTATCGATGATATAGTACTGCAGCACGTTATATTTTGACGTTTACTTGGCAGCAGGAGCGACCTGAAACGGCAACACAACAGTCAGGACAGACAAGTGCCTTTGAAGTGATAACACGGTGTGCTGGTGCAACAGATATATTTGAAATTGAATACGCGGTTTTTAGTACAAAAGAGGAAAGTTAGTACAAAATAGTTTCACTCGTTATTCTGCAGGTTCAGACGGCGTAGGGCTTGTTCTTCTTCTTCCAGTGCATTCACTCTTTGTTGCCCTGCAATGAGAAACACAAACTCACATTATTAATGTTGCATGTAATGATTTTTATTACCGTTACACTACCCCCTATCTCCATGAGGCACTGTCCTCGGTGCCTGGTTGCTGGCATGGGTATGCTATTCCTCCTTCTGGTGGCACCTCATAATGGCTGATAGCAGTCGGGGGATTGACAAACGGAGTATCTAAGTGCACCGCTGTTTTATCTGGCTTCAATTGGTTGTAGTGTGCTGTTATAACGTCGTCTTGAGGTCGCTGGAGGTTACGTAGTACGAATGTTGTAAGGGACAGAATAAATACGATTTCATAAGGCCCTTTCCAAGGTTGGTGGAACTTACCGCATGTTCCTGGTGTTGCCATCGGGCGATGTAGCCAAACACGATCTCCAGGTTTATATACATGCCCGTTCGCATGTTGATCGTACACATCCTTTTGGTGTTTCCTAGCATATTGTAGATTAGCTTTAACTAGACGATATGCGTCGTCTAGACGGCTACGAAGGTTACGGACGTATGGTACATGGTCTTGAGCTTCGCAAGGCAACAACGGCATTGATTTTACAGAGTGGGCGCGATTCGATTATAGAAGGTGTTACTGGTAAAGAATTGTCAAACCACAATACTGGTGGTATCTTCAGTTGTTTATGGGATTTCTATTTCATATCACAGCTCAAATATTTTTAAATATCATAATGGCATCGCGATGGAGCCTGTGTTAAAACAGTTGGACACTCATTCAACATCTGAAGCTTTTGAGGAATATTTTGAAGGGTTCGAAATATGAAGCATGTCCAAGAAATTTATGAAGGGTGATAAAATTGTGGCACGTATTCTAGAAATGTTAAACATTCTGTGACGAATAACACCCCAACAAAGCAATTAAAAAGAAGTATTCTTCGTCCAAATATGAGGTGTTTGAAGTCTGCAGAAATTATACATTACCGTAGGAGTGATCTAGAACCCTCATTTACCAAATCATCTTGTCTTAGTTTCGTCTGGGCAATAACACTTACCTAAACTACCTAGGCAGTTATTCTCCAGCCTAAACCTCAGTTTGTATTCGACGAAACGGTATACAGGAGTTGAGATAATGTTACCACCAAATGAAGATAAACATGGTCGAAACGAGCGTGGAAAGCTGTTAAAGAGCCCAACGGACATTTGTTGTGTCTAATTACCTCAGATTTTTGACAGCGTACACAAAGCCTGTTTAATTCATCACGTCATTATTCGTACCAGGCCAGCGAAACCGTACTGCTACGGGCTTGATGGATTCTGAACAGCTGAATGAGAAAGCTTGCACGAATTATTAAAGACGTTGCGTCACTAAAGTTTCTGCACGATTGGACATTTAGATGTGTCAAAGTAAAGCTTCCTCACCTGTTCTCAGAAGCTTAATACCTAGTTTCGGGTTTTCAAAGAAAACTCCTGCTTATGCTGGGTGAGTTTAAAAAGGTCAATTCCTTGAAGACTTCTCAAGGAAGTTATACGAGACAAGGCGTTTGTAATTACATTGTTTGCCCCAGAAATGTGTTGTATTTCTGGAGTAAACTGCAAAATGTAGTCCAGTTGTTGAGACTATCGAGAAGAGTAATTGTCAGAACGTGGGCTTAAATGGATGATTACAAATGAGATTCTCTGTCTGGACTTCAAGCAGTCATCAACATACGGATGTACGAAGTCGAGACCTTAGAAGACCTCATCGATGAACCTTTGACAGCTTTAGGCAGCGTTACTCAAGCCCAATTGCATGCACAAAGACTCTTAGAAACCGAAGGAAGTGATGGGAGTGGTTTATAGAATGTCGTCAGCAGCCATGGGAGATTGGTTATAGGTTTTAACCAAGTCGATTTTTGAATGAAAACAGTTCTACCTCCCAAGGTAGTTATCCAACTGCGAATGTGAGGCAACGAGTAACGAGTAGGAATAGTTTCGCGTTCAATCACCGATAATCACCAGTTGGACACCAGTCGTCTCGTATTTCTAGCAACATTTCTGTTTCCGCGCCATATTGAATCTCGATTTTATTGTCTGTCTGTTAGATCCCCATGCCAAAGAATAACGCATTCTAAATTTTCGTAAAGTGCCCAGACGTCACCAGTAAACATACTAGGTGTGATGTACCTGCTGTAGTCGGGTTGTAGTGCCTTTACTACCGACAGGAACTGGGCACGTGGGTCATGGAAGTCGGCATCTGTGTCACAGAACCAGACTTCGATCTTTTCGGTTAAAAATGCATTAGCTTAAGTTTTGGAGGCGAATGAGTCTTGATCTTAAGTAACCTAGTAATCTTTTCGGTCATGAAGAATATAAAGTATGGTAATGAACAAGAAAAAAATATCCATATCCCTATGTTTACTATATATTTTGGTAAAACGTACTTCGATGCAGCAAATAAATAGTGTCTCCACAACTTATACAGTTTGTAAATTTTGTTATCTAAATGAAGTGAGTTTTTGAGAAAGATCTTCGAAACTATGAATCAAAATACGTATAGTAAATTGCTATTCTAAACAATTTCTTGTCAAAACACGTTTTAAATGTAGAGATGGTGAAATTTCAAAGAACCCTAGCCAAATCATCCGGCAGTCAGGTCACTGAATATCGAACAGTTCATCGATCCTTGATAAGGTCAAGGACAACAAGTATTTGCACGCCATAGACTGACTTTGAAGTTTGCTGGCTAGTCACACCATTCCAGTCTAACTCGGTAGGTAGCCAGTCATTCGATATAGGCATCTGAGTTGGCGAGTAGTAGTAGTAGTAGTAGTAGTAGTAGTAGTAGTAGTTTGATTAACTCTTCCTGTTATATTCACTTTCTACATCCATGTTAAAAACAAAATTGCTTGTTAGGTTGCTGACGGAGTTAGACAGTAAATTAAGTCTCCGTGATTACGATTTACGATAGTGAAATGTAGACACATTTTTAATACTGTTAGTTGTTAGTTGACCGCGTCGACAAAACTCGGCCAATTATATTTCAGTGTGAAGAAAATTTTTATTTGTGCGTATTTAAGGAATGTGAATTCTCAGTGGTAGGTAAACAGTGTGGGGGAAAAAGGATATATGGAGCATTAAAGTTCTGTAATGAAACTCGGAAAACAAGGTGAATCAGATTTTCGTAAACCGCATTTGACACACGTGGGAGTAGATAGGGAAATATGCATAGCTCCGAATATAGGTATGAAAATTTCTAGATATACAAACCAATAGCTATCAATGCCATATATAAAGAAATAACCATTAGTATTAAAATAGATGCATGTGCAAAAACCAAAAGTTCGTTTGAATCCATACAAACCTTTTGACAGTGGTTTCGCGCTTATTGACATTCATCCCCAAGATATAACTAGGTATTTAGAGGTCTCTAACTCCTTTTCAGATTCAAGTGGTCATTTCACAGTGTGACGGTTTGAGATGTTGTCATTGGTATTTTCCTAATCTTGATTGGCTTTTTAAATTAGTAAGAGATTCACTTTTGTAATTCATTGGTTGTTAAGATCAGTAGGATATACAAAAGTTCTCTATACGTAAATTTGTAATGGTCAGCTTATGATACAGAATTACAAGTGTAATAATTCACGACTTTGTCACGTTTTCTGTCTACGGTAGGCAAATTACAATCTTTATTTCGATATAAAACTTACTTAAAATTGATAATCTATTTTCTTCCATAAGACTGTATATACTTCACATTTAAAAGAAACATGGGGTCAATTAAAAAAATACTGATACTCTTTGTGGATAAGGGTTAAATAGGTTAGAAAACCTCCATTTCATAGAGAATTAGGAAACAAAATATAGCAAAATGACTTCAAATTTCAAGGCATTAACCCCAGAAAACATAATTGTTGAGTTCATAAAGAGTGACATTGTAGGTCATTATGACCTTGCATAGAAACCAGATTCTAATAAACTATACTCCATACCCCAATAAAATATTCACTTACACAAAAGTTCTTGTGCAAACACTGAACTAATAACAGTGTATGATCGACAGAATATGAAGGTATTCAGTCTGTATCGATTGCGCATAAATGATTTCAACGAGAATACACCTGTTGTACTTGTTATTACTACGAATACTAGTATACTGTGTTAGCAATGTTTTAGTGACCCTTTAATCTGACTCCAGTGTAGATGGACGCATGAGTAGGCTATGATACATATCTTCCATTTGACTCCATATTTCACCTACCCTGACCTCGTTTGTGTGACGGCGATAATTAGAAGTCAAATACGGGTTGTGTTGAAAGGATTCTTTTCAAGCGCTAGTTTATCAAGATAGATATTTAGAATGAGGAGAGAGAACATGAAGCCAAGCATGGAAGGCTTGTGGGTCAAGTCGTCTTTATAAAGTCTAACTCAGAGTTTATATCCAGAAAAATATAAGCCAATAACATGTAATGCATAGGGTAAGCGATGTACATACATACGCACATATGAAAACATTCAAGGTTAATAGGGGAATAACTGACGAGGTCAAATGGGGGTTCCAAGAAAAATGAATAAGGTGGTCTGTCCACAAGCTAAAATAACTCATGTAATCTGGACATATTACTACAATGTGTCCACGACACACTTTTCTGTATTTCTTTGGCTTATAAGACACGTGTTCTAGTCTCATTTTGTTTGTGTAAGAATTCATATGTTTTAGAAATCAAAGCTCGTATGATTCTATTCATCGAGCTTCAGTCGTCTCAGACGACTGTTAACCGTCTAATATACTGAAAAAAGTTGACATACGTACCTTCACCCAATAAAACATTACAAGGAGGTTGTTAATCGTAAAAATATATGTTCGTGAAGTAACGACTACAGAATATACTCCAATTTCTTAGTTTCTTAGAAACACAAATAACTTTATGAATGACATTGTTTGTTTGTAAAAAAAATCCACATTCGGAAAATAGCTTTCTTGAAGTTTATGAGTGGATGTTGTCCATGCAGGTCAATCTACGAAGTATTTTATATTTTAGATAATTCAGGATTCGTTAAATTAAATCTCAGCACTTGGCTTTCCTACTTAATTAGCTACTATTTATTTTTTTAATGAATGGTAAACAAATGCTGTGCATCTAATAATGATATATATCACTTGACTGCTAATCAATCACAGCACAATTGTACACTAGAAATCTAAGAGATTGGTATCAAAAACTATCCAGGTAATTACCACTTACCTTTGTTGTAATTGACAATAAGGACGAATAAAATCGAACAAAATATTTTAAAATTCTAACAAAACATACGACTGCTTCTTTGTAACTAAACACAGAATATATACAGAAAAATAAAAATTGTCTGTTTGAAGATTTCTGATCATCGTTAAAACAGTAACGATAGTGGTAGATTATTTTACACCAACATGATAGAAGAATAGTTGCAAAGAAGAGTAATTGTGACTAGTTATTAGAGTAAGTCAGCTTAATAGTTTAACTGAATATATCATCACTTGAATAAGTGTAGTGAAGATACCACTAGTATCATAGTTTAACAACACTTTACCAGTAACACCTTCTATAATCCAATCGCGCCCACCCAGTAAAATCAAAAGTCAAAAGCGAGGAGGCTGGAAGATATATTTGATGGGTTATCAATATATCGAGAAGTGACTGATCTAATCTGGCTAATGATCGGAGGAGATGTTTCGCACCCCGTTCTGAAACGTGATCTGGTGCGGATGCATGACCGAGCGCCTTCAGCTAAATGAGTCCACTAAAACTAATGTGGTCAGCATCCAATGTCGAACACTTACAAAGCTATTGATTTTGGGGTTTATTTACAGCTACAGTAGTATTTTTTGTATTGAAAGAAATAGATGAAAAATGTTGTCTACAAATATTTCACTCACATAAAATATTCTACTTAAAATAAACGAAAAAGTGATAATGTTATTTTTTCTGTTCCCTGTCACCTACTCATAACTTTCCTGAGTGAATTAGTGCAGTTAATCAATTGATGCTTATATGATTCATGTGCTTTTAAATCGATTGTTATGTTTCATGGCTTATAAAACAATTGAAAAATTATTTCAGTTAGTTAATTTTGCTTTGACTAACAAAACACTAAAGTGACTCTTAACTTTGGCAAGTCAATGTCAAATCTTGATTCCTAACAATTCAAATAACTTTTAAGTTATCATTATACCTTAAGTGAAAGCTCTAGTTTGATTTTAGAAACAAATGAAATCAAATGACCCAATAAGAGGAGAAGATAAACATTTATAATCTTCTATTGACAAACACATAATCGAAACAGTCTGTAAGATTGATATAACTCGGATTTTGTGGTGTTGTATCAAGGTGTATAAGGGCGTATATTAAGGTTTTTTGAAGCCTTAGCCACACGAAAATTCAAACCCCCTTTGTGTATTCAAAAACAGTTTGTTCTCACCTTAAACCTACTCTGGTGACATTAGCTTATTATCCAGAGTGTTTAGGTATCAAATTGTTTACTCATTATTTTTATTATTATTATCCTTGTCTACTCTAAGCCCCATTTTCAGACTAGACAACATTTTTTTCTTATATATAAATGTTCTCAACAAGTATATGTATTATCAGATTGTTCGAAATGTATTGCGCTGATATATAAAATAGGACGAAACGCGCGTCCTGGATTCCACTGCTAGCCACTATCCATCTTTGCTTATAATGCTTGTGAATTGAATTGCACATATGCCGATAAGAGACTGACCAGTTTCAGTCCTAATCATCAATGGGAAGATTCAAACAAACAAAACTAAGTGAATTCAAACTTCACCCCATTGCACAAGCAATTGGCTATCAGGACTCAGTAGCTGAGTGGATAACGTGATGGCGTTTGAAGCGAAAGGTACTTGGTTCGAGTCCCACAGTGAACATTAACTCTGAGATGCAGGTACATCCAGCTGTCGAGTCCCAAATAGGGCGAAACGCACGTCCTGGATTAAACTGCTAGCCACTGTCCATTTTTGCTTATAATATATCATATAATTCTGATAATCTTCGTCTTCTTATTACACTATGGATATTAATTATTAATTTAATTTTCACAGTTGAAATCATGAGTTAATTGAAGCGAGACCATCATGGAAAACGTGGAAGCACTGGACCGCCGTTTCGTCCTATTATGGGACTCCTCAAAAGTGCACATCCACGATCCCTCACTCACGAGATTCGAATCCAAGACCTACCAGTCTCGAGCCAGAGCCCTTAACCGATAGACCACTGAGCCGGCATCCAATGGTGTTAATGTCTAACTTCAACCAATCCACGATTTTGAGCGACCGTTCTCCAATTGTCTTCAGCGAGCTGATATCTCTACAACAGACCTGGTAGAACTCCACTGGCCACTGCTTCCCACTAGAACTCAAGGAAATATCCCTTAAAGTCAGTCACTAGTGACCATATAAACGGTCGCTCACTGTTGAGGAGTCCCATAATAGGACGAAACGGCCGTTCAGTGCTTCCAGGTTTTCGATGGTGGTCTAGCTTCAATTGACTCATGATTTCAACTGTGAAAATACTAAATTCTCCACAAAACCCCCCTCTGATCAATAATTTAATTACCATTTAGAATAGATAACTGATTATAATCTCTTAGGTTAATGAATACATTCCGAAATATATGATTTTCTAGTAAATTTATTTCAGAAAATGTAAAAAAGATTTGAATGTTAAAATCAAGAATGGTTTATGTGTTCTTTGCAGTATGATAATTAACCGGTCAAAAATTACCAATTGTCATATATACTACTCTGAAATGTACGAAGTTAATAGTGAATATTCTATGAATTAAAGTTATTTCAAAAAAGCAATAACAATCTTTTCAATAAACCAATTCACATCAAAATGTAAATGATCACCATCTTTTTCAATAAAATGTAAATCACCCCTTTTATCAAGTTCTTTAAGACCTAGACGATCCTAAAATAAGAGAATTTATGAAATCTTTTAAAATTTTTGTCAAGTAGTTCTGAAACAAAAAGGAATTAAATTTTGTTTTGAATAAGGAAGTGATAAAATCAATGTAAATAATTATAAATTGTTCACAAGGAGGCTTTCTATTCCAATTTTGACAGTTGAGATCATGAATCAATTGAAGCTAGACCACCATGAAAAACCTGGAAGCACTGGATGGCCGTTTCGTCCTATTGTGGAACTTCTCAGCAGAACACATGCACGATCCCGCCTCGCGAGATTAGAACTCAGGACGTATCAGTCTCACGCGCGTGCGCTTAACCACTAGATCAATGAGCCGGTATCCAACTGTGGTAATTTCTAACTTCAACCGATCCACGAAATTGAGCGACACATACACCAATGTCTTCAGTGAGTTTCTATCTCACAACAGAACTGGTTGTACTTCACTGGTTACTGCTTCTCACTAGAACTCCAGTAAATACCTCATCGAGTCAGTCACTAGTGAGCATATGTTGATTATTATCACAAGGGATTTTGTGGATATTATAATTATTTTGATTCAATTTAAGCTAGACCACCATGCAAAACCTGGAAGCACTGGACGACCGTTTCGTCCTATTATGGGACGACTCAGTTTGGATTCGATAATTCTCTAAGACAGTTGATTTTTCTAGTTATCTGAAACGTTATAATCAAATTTATAGTTCATCTATTTGTTCAACGATCTCCTGACTAATTTTTGATCATGCTCAACATTTATTAGTCTTTTATTAAAATTGATACTGCATTGTCGAATAAACGTGATACGCTTTGTCCAATCTATTTTTCTCGATACTTACTAGGCACATCAATCTTCATGCGAGTCATCAGATTTTAACTAGACTTCATAAAACAAACCACTTTAATACACTGAACTTCACTTGGTATCCTCACGAATCCGTTAATTTAAACTAAACATTATGTCACTTTAATAAGTCATTTAACGAATCAAAATCTCATTATTTATATCAACCTCTCATACATGGTTTAACAGCCGTCAGTCAAGTACATCTTGTTACTATCATTAAAAACAAACAGATCATCCAATCTGATTTAATTATCTGATGTATTTTGAACAAAAAACAAAAAAAAGTTTACTGATTTATTTAGATGTAATATCTTTCCATATGTATAGTCTCATGATGTAACCCTCAACTTACAAAAATGACATGCGTATTCAAGTTTTTGATGTCTGGTTACGAGAATTTACTTTTTGACTCGAATCTTTCTGTTGTCATCATTTATATGCTTAAACTTGTGATTGTCAGCAATCATCATATACGAACATGCTTTATGTACGAAAGTCACAGTTGTTAAAAATTTAATTAACAGAAGTCTTAAGCTTGTTACAGATAAGGAAGACCAAAAATATGAATTGAATAGGATTTTATCTACACTTAGGGAAAACAACTACCCAAAAGAGTTTTTAAAGAAGATTGTTAGAAAGGAAAGAAAAGCTAAACTACGATGTGTACAGAAAGATTGGAAGTCCACTGTAGTCATACCATACCGTAGTGAAACATCGGAAGAAATCAAACGGATCTTAAACAAGCATGATATAAGAGTGTATTTTAGAACATGTGACACTATAAGATCGTCATTGGTGAAGGTTAAGGATAGGTTACCAAAGGAAGAACAACAAAATATTGTCTATGAGATCAATTGTAATGCGGCTTATGTTGGAGAAACATCCAGACAATTGAAGGTAAGGTTAAAGGAACACAAACAATGTTTAAAAAATGTTCCCAAAACTTCGGTTGACTTAAGGAAACTTGAGAATAAGTCTGCAATAGCGTTACATGCGTTGGAAACGGGACACGTGATTAATTTTGAAGGGGCCAAAATACTTCAGAAAGGTTTCAACACTCATAAAGAAAGATTGACAGCAGAAGTGCTGTATATATAGGCGAATATGAACAGCCTAAACAGAAAGGTTGGTATTCAGCTAGCTACCACTTGGCAAATATTCATCAACAAGTAATTTGACCTTTTCTTTTATTCAACCTGTTTACTTCAAATGAATCGTTACTATGACTGAAATGAATATAAGTTATGCTTAACATTACAATTATGTACTTGATGATGCTCATTTTATTTGCAATTTCGATGATTCAGAAAGAAAAAAGAACTTTCCTACCTTCATTTTGCACTTTTATTCTTACTTTTACTTCACATAGAAACATATCAACACACTGAATATCATTCATTAATAACTCATCGTTTACATACACCCAATTTATGCAGTCTCCTTTAATTCACATCGTTGAACTTTTCACTTGATTCTCATTCAACTGACTCATATTATCCTTGAGGAAATGTGAATGGCCCAGTGGTTAGGTATTCCAACTGAACACTTAAAAGAATTATGGTTACGTTGTACCTTTAATGTCCAGTTTAGTTTCAACAATGAAATATATAGACAAAGAGATGGGATTGCAATGGGATCTCCATTAGGTCCAATTCTAGCAGACTGCTTCATGGCAAAACTAGAAAACAATCAACTCAGTTCAATGATAAATCGAATCCAACTATACGTAAGATGCATAGACGACACATTTGTCGTTTGTGACGATAATATTGATTTGGATGATATCTTACACTCATTTAACTCATGCCACCCTTCCATAGACTTTACATTAGAAAGAGGGAAAGACCAATCAATCCCTTTTCTTGATGTACATCTATTGAGAAGAAGTAATGGTTCTTTGAAAAGATCTATCTTTAGAAAGCAAACATGGTACGGCCAACTAACCAACTTCTATAGATGGGTTCCGTTAAATAGAAAGAGAAATTTGATTCATTCTTTATGCTATCGTATACATCGGATATGTAGTACTGAATGCATTAACGAAGAACTCGAGTTCCTCAAGAAAACTTTGATGAAAAATGGTTACCCAGATCGATTCATAGAAAAGAATATGAATAGAAGTAGCGTCGATAGGAATCCTAGTTATTCAGTCCCAAAGAAAAGCCTTTATATAAGTCTGGAATTTAAAGGTGATCGAACATCAGACATAAATAAAAATCGTTTAACAACAACGATTAAAAGGACATTTAACGCTGCTAAACTACGAATAACCTTCACTAGTAAGAACTTATTCTCTGTATCCATAAAAGATAAGCTTCCGCGTTCGGTCGCCTCTATGTGCATCTACCAGTTCACCTGCTCTTGTGGAACAAGGTACATCGGCCGTAGCCAACGCTCGCTTTCAACTCGGATACGAGAACATATACCAGTTTGGTTCTACAAAGGTGAAAGGAAAACAGTTAGAAGTTCCATACTTGAACACTTAATCGACTGTAATCATTTGACGAATCCACAGTCTGATTTTAAGGTTGTCTATATGATTCGTTTAAATCTACCAAGATTTCTTCGTATTAAACTCTTAAAAATAGCCGAAGCTCTTACAATCCACGAGCTCAAACCAGAACTATGCGTACAAAAGAAGTACGTTTTATCATTATCGTTACCATGGCCTTAATATTATTATTAGTATCATTCTATTATTATTATTATTACCCCATTCCCCCTTTACTTATGTTTTATATTCGCATTATTTTATTCATGAATTTTGATGTTGGTTTGTTCTCTGAGCTGGGTGGTTTGGTCGTGGAGCTTTCATCGTCCTTCTGAACGACATCATCAGCACAAACTTCGGGTAGAAGTGAAGTGTTTGAATTTCTCCACATGTGATTCACAGCTTGTCCTCTGCACCTCGATGTTGATTGGTTCTTATTGACCTTAAATCTGTCATTGTTTATTTCTTTGTTTTGGTTGTATCTCCTATTGGTTTGATTTTTGTTCCTATGTTCCTGCATAATTTTCTTGATTGGTTGATAGATTGGATTGATTTCAATATGTTTGTTTATTGCTGATTGACCTGAGTGCCAAGCTTCTAAAAATTATCTGATATTTTTGGAATTGCCTCTGTCCAAAATCTGCACCATTTCCCAGTCGAATGTATGTCCGTAGTTGTCCACGTGTATTGATATGAGTGAAGAAATGTCGTGACGTTTGACTGCTAATTGGTGTTCATGTAGGCGAAGGTGCAGGGGGCGTCCGCTTTGTCCAATATAGTGTTTGTTGCAGTTGATACAATTTATCTTGTAGATGATGTTTGTTTTGTCCTCTTTTGCTATTTCATCTTTTGGTTTGCATAAGATTGAGTGGAGGGACTTTGTTGGTTTGTGGGCTACACCTATTCCGAAGGTTTTCAGCAGCCTTGTTGTCGTTTCCGATATGCCCTTTATGTATGGTAGGGTGATCCTTTTGTTGATTTTCATACCTGATTTCGTTTCTGATGGTGTATGCGACTGGTATTTTTTGATGAAATTGATTGGATAGCCGTTCTTTTGAAGAATGGTTTTCAGGTGTTTTTCTTCATTATTTCGTGCTGTGATTGTATTGCAGTGTGTTCTCGCCCTCTTGAACAAAGTTTGTACACAGTTGATTTTGTGAGTTCTTGGGTTGTTGCAATTGTAGTTGAGAATTTGATCGGTGTGGGTCGGCTTCCTGTGCACTTGAGTCTCTAGTTTTCCTGTGTCAGTTCTGGTGATTAATACATCTAAGAATGGTAACTTGTTGTCCGACTCTTGTTCCATTGTGAACTTGATGTCGTTGAAGACGTTGTTGATCTGCTTGTAGGTGTTTTCTATTTCCTCCTTTTTGACGATGACGAATGTGTCGTCTACATAACGAATCCAAATTTTCGGTTTGATCACTGGTAGAATTGTGGTTTCTAGTCGTTGCATTACTGCTTCCGCGATGAGTCCTGATATTGGTGATCCCATTGGTGTCCCTTTTGTTTGTTTGTAGATTTTGTTATTGAATTGGAAATATGTTGTTAGACATAGATCTATGAGTTCAAGTAGGCTTTGACTTGGAAGTTTCGTGTATTTTGCGAGGTTTTCATCGTTGGTTAGAAGCAAGGACAGGGTTTCTTTTGCTAAGTTTGGTTCAATTGAAGTGAATAGTGCTGTTACATCGAAGGATATCATTAGTTCGTCGTCGTTGATTTGAATGTTCCTAATCTGGTCAAGGAATTGTGTGGCTGATTTGATGGAGTGGTTCGACGAATCTACTAAATGTTTCAGTATCCTTGAGATTTCTCTTGATAAATTGTACGTTGGTGTTCCTGGTAGTGCTACTATTGGACGTAGTGGAATGTTTGGTTTGTGTATCTTTGGTCTGCCGTAGAACCGAGGGAGTACTGGTCCATTAGATTTCATTCTCCATTGATCTTGCTTCGTTATTTCTCCTGCTTTGACGAGTTTGTTTAAAGTTTTTGCAATGCGATTGTCTAGTTTTTTGACTGGATTTATGTCCATCGGTTTGTATGTATTTATGTCCTCGAGTATTTCCTCGGCTTTCTTGATGCATTCTTTTTTGTCCATAATCACCGTGGTGCGTCCTTTGTCTGCTGGAACGATGACAATATCTTTTCTGGTTCTGAGTTTCTTCAAAGCTGTTTGTTCTTATGACGTCAGTTGGTTGTTGCCCTTCATCCGTTGAGTTAGTGGTATTATAGATTGTCTTATTTCCTGTTGCGTTTCCTCACTTATTCCGGAAGTTTTGAGTGATGACTCCAGTGCTGCGTAGAATTCCAGTTTTGAGGCATCGCTTGTATTGTAATTTAATCCTTTTCGGAGTAGCTGTTCTTCTGTGTTTGTTATTGGTTGTTCTGATAGGTTGACCACGCTGTTGTTTGTGTTTTCTTCTATAGTTGGATTTGAGATTTTGATTATTTTCTTTTTAAGGATGTTTCTTCTTTTTTCTCTGTGTCGTTTGCATAATGTTTCGATGGCTGTTGTCAGGGTTTCGAAGTGTTCTGGTGTGAGTGCCTGTTGTAGCTTCCTCTTTTGGTCCTCTATGATATGTTGGTATTTGCGGATCCTGTAATGTGCGTCAGTTATCATTAGATAAACCATTTTTCTTCCACTTTGCTCAGCTATTTTCCATCCTAATGGGCAGTTGATTGGAGGTCTGTATCTTACACTTGTTGGCAGAACATGCTGGCGAATGCACTCGTGGAGAAAATATAGTTGTTCTTGAGTGGAAGCTTGCCTTTTGGCGAAATTCTCCCATTTTCGAACAACGAGAAGCGTACTACGCTCGTATGATTTTGAGATGGTGAATACTCATCATATCATCTTATTTATTTTACACCTCTATGACCTTTAATGACCTTTAATTATTGTAACCAAAACATTTTAATCATCTTATTCTATTCACTAAATCTATTGTTGTTATTCATTATATGTGAAAAAATTATATTTGAAATAGTCTCAGCGATTGAAATTTAAATAATTCCAACTTCCCTGAAGAAGTCCAGACAAGTTAACTGGACGAAACGTTGGAATTATTTAAATTTCAATCGCTGAGACTATTTCAAATATAATAATTTTTTCACATATAAAGAACAACAGGTTAGTTTGGACATACCAATGCGTTACTTACTTCAGTATACAGAATGCTCTCTTGTAACGTTGTTGTATTTGTCGACGATCCATTCTGATAAAATCCAAACCACTGAAAAAGATTGTTTATGATATCAGAAAACACTCATATTTACTATAATTCATGCATTTCAAAAACTTCCTAAACTACGTATAGAAAATATAGATCGGTTGAAATCATTTACACCTCACGATGAAATATAAACAACGATAACCGTTATAGATTGTCAGTGATCAGGATCTATAAAGATGGTATTTAATTCTTCACAGTAAAAGATAACCAGTCATCGGAAACAATGAAATGATCCGTATAATTTCATCATACTTTAATTACAGAAAATTTTTTAACAAATAATGTCGCCTATAATATAAACACAGCTAGTGTGAGACATTCAACTAGTACACTATTGCTGACATTATGGTGCACCAAGGTCCTAGTATACTAAGTTTACTCGAATAAAGTTCAGCTAATTACTGGATCACCTCTATGCACTTAACTGAGTTACTTCAAAAATTCTGTGTGTAACTTTACTAAATATAAAATTAATGTGAATGGTCAAATGACACAACTACCACCATGAAACTAAAGTCGGTTAACTAATAAGTTAAGAGTTATCGCAACAGTTGTAGATAACTTTTCTGTACAATAATTGGATTTTGTACTGATGAAAATATATTTTTATTAAGTTCTTCAGATAACCAAAAATATAGGACAATTCTAAAACACGTGATCCATATTTACTATTCATGATTTATAAAGTAAAGATATTGAAGAGTGTAAGGGGATATTTTTATTTCCTTTTTAAAATGAAACTTACCAACTCATGTCGATAACTCGAATTAGGAATTTAACTTACGTTGGGAGATAGAATTTAAAGTCATCGATTTATTTTGATAAGAAAACACGAGGTAATTCCTAACTGCAGAGTTTTCGACTTATGTTTGCAAAAATTCAATTCAATTTACCTTACAGATTGAAAAAAGTCAATGGTCATATGCTTCAAATTAAACCAAACTAATTGGGTATATAAGAACTCTCGTCTAAATTAGAGCGAATAGTTTCACAGTATTTGAGCGCCGAGTTGATGTAAGACATTAAATAGGAATAATGTATTTGTAAAATCTCAGCGAATGAATTTTTAATTAAATCCAACGTTTCGCCTGGCAATCTGGTCCAAGTAATTGGGGATTCAATTACAGACTAGCTCAGATAAAAGACCATCATACCCTGTCTAGCTTGAATATAGTTCGACAAAACATGTTTTTGATGAGTGCAATTGATATGCAGCTTGCCGCATAGATTTTAAAACATATTAAAAAAGTATATAAAAATGTATCCTGAAACCAGAAGCTACAAAAACTCTAAATTAATTAATCTTTTGATTTATAAGCAAATATTTTTTATATATAGTTGAAATCATGAGTCAATTGAAGCTAGACCACCATGGAAAACCTGGAAGCACTGGACGGCCGTTTCGTGGATTGGTTGAAGTTAGACATTAACACCGTTGGATACCAGTCGGCTCAGTGGTCTATCGGTTAAGTGCTTGCGCGCAAGACTGATAGGTCCTGTGTTCGAATCTCGTGAGGTGAGGTCGTGGATGCGCACTATTGAGGAGTCCCACAATAGGACGAAACAGCCACCCAGTGCTTCCAGGTTTTCCATGGTGGTCTAGCTTCAATCGACTCATGATTTCAACTATATACAAAAAAATTATTAAAAAATCTCCACAAACAACCCCTTATAAGTAAATAGCTAAACTATACTGGAATTATTCGAAATGTACTAACTTAATATAAATAAATATGTAAATGAATCTACACACATGGATAAGAATATTTATTCTGACATTAGATAAAGTTCAATGTTAAAATACCATTTAACAAAAATCATAATAGTGTAGGTGTGGATATAAAATGATAATAATATGTATAATCATCTATTAGATAATCTGATTTTTAATGTTCCAATTTTAAGTGTTAGTTTGAACATTGATTGGTAGATTGATACAACATCAGGACTAAGTTAAATGATACTAATTTAATTACATACTAAGAATATAGTATATCATTTATTGTCTGAAGGTTAAATAACTTAGACTTTAGGTCCTGATATTGTCGATTTTTATCACTAAGTCATAATAGGTACATAGTATCAATAAGTATTAAAAATCGTGAATATTAGAATAATGTACTAATTGCAACGAAACTTATCATTTGTATAAAGGTTAACACTTACTTAGATGGTGGTATATATAATATTAAAGATATAGTGACAAGCTTAAATAGCTAACTCATTTTAAAGTAGATTATTCCTTTCAAGTATAGTAATCACAGTAAATTTGATAAGTCTCGATTGTGAAATACTTTTTGTTTCATCAAATGCTTAGGATGAGTTTAGAAATTAGATGTTTAAAACAAAAGGGCACTTCCAACTAACCAATTAATCAATTATTTAAAGAAATATACATATTGTTTTAACTAATCAATAAATACACTTGCTTCAGATTCTTTGGGGATTACAATAGTATCACCCGAAAACTTTACCAATACTAATCTTTGAATATTTTTCATTTTTTTACGATAAATTTCGTTTATTTCCTAAAACATCGAAAAAATGAGTAAATGGAAGTGAATATTTTTGTCAACAAGAAGAAACAAAAGAGAGATTATAAAGTTTTTAGTCTAAGTCAATACTCACCAACTTCATTTAATCATGAAAAGTCATTCCAAATAAAGACTACTTATTCTTTTTCCTTGAAGTTTGCTGGTCTTCAACAGGAAAGATCAGTAGAAGTTGAATATAAGCAGAGATGGATAGTGGCTAGAAGTGGAATCCAGGACGTGCGTTTCGTCCTATTTAGGACTCATCAGCTGGATGTACCTGCTAGCCACTATCCATCTCTGCTTACCATACTTGTGAATTAAGGCTATATCGAGGCAATAAGCACAGTATGCACATATGCCAATTAGAGACTGACCAGTTACAGTCCTAACACATCGATGGGAAGATTCAAGCAAACAATACTAAATAAATTTGAAGTTGAATATAGACAGGAAACAGAGATGAATTGAATAACCACTGTTTAACTAATATTATACTGTATTTGCAAAATATAACTATTCCATTAAGATATAATTAAATTCTTGTTTACTATAGTGTATTAGGGGCTTCAAGACTGGTCCACTAAGAATCGAGTCAAGAATAATACCAAGGTGAACAACTATTGACACTTACAGTTATGATTGAACCACCATAAACCGTTTATAACTAATAAATCATCCTTTATGTCCAATAATTATTTTACATTAACACCAATAATGCGATGTCTTGGTGTTGTAAAGTGATTTAAATCAGATGTGTGTCTCCTTTCAAAAAAACAGAGTCATTATCTGATACTACGGAACATGCTGCATAACTTTTAAAGATTTGTCAATATAACTTACAAATCTTTCAGCATAGTAGTAATCGTTAACAGAATTCAACAATATACTTATTTTGGTGTAATTTTGACGGGACAGTTGCTACAAAACATTTAACAGTGGTTTTATTCTGATCGTCATTCGTCCGTAAGACACACTTACAAGCTTGTAAGAAGTGATTGTAGCTGTGCGAACTGAGACAGAGTCATTAAGTGTCATATCTAAAAATGTTACGCAGAACCCGAATAGGTAAGCTGCTAGAGATATCTGACTTTTAATAGAGTAATTATTATTGATTCATCTAAAAGTATAAGGGTGGTTTCTTAGGACATGATTTCTGTGCCCACAAAGGTTACCAAAGATTTAAATTTTAGACAGTTTCAATCCAAACAAATATTATACAATTGTCTTTTAGCCCTACAAAACTTACGTTTTCCTGATTAATATCAGCTAAAAATTGGGAGTATTTGCGATAGACATCTTCCTCCAATGGATCATGCCAGTATTGAGCTTGAACAAGGCTTGTTACGTAACAAAAAGAATAAAAGGATTTTTTTATTTTTGTACGTGCATTTATTGAAAGGGATAATTAAATGCTTTCGTTTCAAATGGTTTAAGAAGTGACCCTCGTAATTTAAAAAAACCTTTCACAACATTTTAAAAACTAGAAGTATCTCCGTGACAAGGATTGTTACTGTAACTTATTTATAATAAGCTGAAATTAGAAAAAGAAGTAAAATGAAATTTTTAACAAATCGACTTTCTCTAGTTTGATGAGTTAGTGCAGTACCAAGGAGATCAGTTAATTATAGCATCACAAAAGACAATGATTTTTACGGAATCCTATTAGAATTAAACTACAGAAATCAGTAAAATGTCTGGACATGATCAGTTTACGTACTTACACCTGTTACCCGATATGGAAGAGCGTGGGACACCCACCTCGCCTTTACATCTGCATCAGATCCTCCCTGTTCATCAACGATGCTTCTCATATACGTGAATATTTCCATATCTTCCAGAGTTTCTCCATCAAGTGCGATTGGCTTGTCGTTCTCCGTGTTACATTTGAGGATCTTGCTTTTTCCCTCGTGTATATTGAGACCCACTGACGCAGTAGCTTATGCTACACCAGTTATCTTCATTTATATTTCTCTCGTGTGTATGGGATAGAAGGACCAGTTCATCTTTGAGATCCCAATCTAATTGATTCAGAGTTGTTCATTGTATTCCGTGCTTCCTATCAAATGTGGAAGTCTAATTAATATAGTTGACCACCAGAATAAATAGGAAAAGTGAGAGTAAACAACGTTGTCTGACTCCGGTCTTCACTTAAAGTGCATCTGTCAGCTGTCCTCCACGCACTGCCTTGCAGTGTAGTCCGTCGTATGAATTCCAGATATTGTTGACGATTTTCTCAGGAACTCCAAAATGTCGAATAAGATTCAATAAGATTCTCCTATCCACTCTCCCAAATGCCTAATCATAATCAAAGAAGTTGATATATAGTGACGAGTTCCATCCAATTGATTGTCCAACGATGATCCGTAGTGTCGCAATTTGGTCTGTACGCGACCGATCCTGACGAAGTAAGGTCTGTTGATCTCGAAGTTGGATGTCCACCGAACTTTTCATCCGTTTCAGCAACACTGTCGAAAACTATTTTGACACTGATAGTAGTGTGATGCTTCTGTAGTCCTCAAAATTGCTCCTTTCTGTGGTGTCTTGACGAGATATAGTTCCTTACAGCCTGACGGAACTTTTTCCTACTCCCAAATCTTCCTAAATAGAACATGGAGCATGTTTGCAGTTACCTCTATGTCCGACTTCAGTGTTTCGGATGGTATGTTGTCAATTCCTGATGCTTTCTCACACTTCATTCGTTTGATGCCCATCCCGATTTCTTCGGTCATTGGTGGAGTGACATCTATTGGGAGGTCCTTAGGTGCTGCTTTGATGTCCAGTGGATTCAATGGAGCTGGCCTACTCAAAAGTTCCTCAAAACGTTCCACCCATCTTTTCTCTGTTCTTGAATTTCAGTGAATGTCTTTCCTTCTTTGTCCTTGACTGGTCTCTCTGGTTTACTATATCTCCCTGCTAGGTTCTTCGTTGTATCATATAGTTGCTTTTTCCGCCATCGTTGCTAGTTATTCTATGTATTTCTGCTTGACTTTCTCTGCTCGTGTTCGACTGTTGTTAATTGCTGACTTCTTGTTCTTCCTTTCTTCAATCCTCTCCAGGGTTCTCATGGAGAACCATTACTTCGATGCTTCTTGTGCCCCAGATCCTCCTGACACGCGCTTCTTTGATCCCTTTTCAGTTGTCTTCCATCGTAGTTTCTTGTTCTTTCAGTAGATCCTGAAAAGCTAGGAACCTGTTTTTGATAGTTATTTTGAATTCGTTCAGTTTGTTAGTATCTCGAAGAAAGGCCGAATTGAACCTTTGTAATGCCGTTCCCCCAGTTGTCCAGTATTTCTCTAGCTTCAGTTTCATCTTGACCACAGCTAGGTGGTGATCAGAAGCCATGTCAGCTCCTCTCCTGGTTCTCACAACTTCGATTGTCCTTCAGAAGTTTTTGTTGATACAAATATGATCTATTTGGCTCTCCGCGATTTGATCCCGTGAGGTCCATGTAGCTTTGTGTATGCGCTTGTGTTGGAATATTGTGCCGCCTATAACCAATTTGTTGAATGCACATAGATTTGCAAATCTCTCCCCATTTTCATCTCTCTCTCCTAGTCCATGTCGTCCAATTATATCTTCATATCCTGTGTTGTTCACTCCAACTTTAGCATTTAGATCTTCCATCAGGATGATCAGATCCTTTCTTGAGCACTTCGCTATGATTGATTACAGCCTTTCATAGAAGTGATCATTATCGTCATCATCGCTATCATTGGTGGGTGCATAACATAAGATAACACTTATTGTGATCCCCTCCTGCTTTGTTTTAAATGATGCTTTGATAATTATGGATCCATGAGATTCCCATCCTACAGGTGCATTTCGTGCTCTCTGGACAGCATTAGAGCAACTTCCTAAGTATGTGGAGCATTCTCCTCTTCGTGACTGGAGTACAGAAGCATCTCTCTCGTATCTAGCCTTTGTTGTTTAGCTTGAGTCCAATGGGTTTCGTTGATTTCAAGTATTGACAATTTATATCTTATTTCCATTGCTATTTGACCGGTCTTTCTGGACTCCCACATTGTCCGAATGTTCCATGTACTTATAAAAAGTGTTTGTCTGGTTGTTAAAAGTGGCATCGGCCTCGTGACTTCGGAAAAATCTCGGCTTTCATCCTGAGGCGTCACAATTCTTCCCTCGATTCCCAAGGCAGAGTTTAGATAGTTTAATTTGTTTATTTTGACTGGTTCTTTTTAGCAAAGTCTTTTTCTACAGGATTGGGTTGCCTACCTCGTGCTAAACCATTCTTGTTCACCCGAGCTTGGGACCGGAAGTAACTTTAGACGAGCTATGTGCGGATATGATTAGTAGCAAAAAATAATTCAAACCAGCGTTTACTCCTTAAAGACAGGCAAACGGTAATTGACTTCTTGTTGATATTTTCCTGAGTTCTGTGTTTGGTACTTTATTAGGTTGTTTGGTCAGATAGTCAGTCATACTCATCGGTAAACTTAGAACATATGGACGTCTGTTCAGGTTGTCACGCTTGATCAACACATCGAGTTGCCGGAGTAGTGGATGTAGTACCAGGATCAGTGATAGCAGAATAAATTTGGTGTTGTCAAAACTCGAGAAAAGTGTAAAACAATAAGATCATATAATCAACACTCATTCTCTTTCATTTCTGGACATATATTTGAAACGAGTCTTAAGATTGACCTTAACCCAGACTTTATGGTTTCGGCCAAATGTTGAATGGAGAGAATAAGCAAGTTTACTTAAGGCTTAATCGTACAAAATTTACCCCCTCTGTGAGTTCAGAGACAACTTATACTTTCACTTTAACTCCCTTAGTAGCACCAATTTAGTGACCAAAGTGGAATGATTCATGATATTTTTTGCCTCCTCCAGTTTTTTTACTTAGTTATTTTTCGTATCAAACTTCATAACCAGTAAATGTATGGTCGAATTGTACAGAAAGCAATGCATTGATATACTGCACAGTTCTAATAATGTTCATCTTCTTACTGAATAATTTAAATGACACAGCTAGCTTTTCTTGTAATTGGAGTAGTCACCCTATATATGACAGAGATGAATAACCCCTATAGACATTCCAGATGAAGGCTTATATCTTAGATGCTCAGTAAACACCTGTTTGTAACAAGACAATACACTGGTTTTGACCTTTTATACGATTGAAGATTCTTTGGCTTTTTTGAAAGCCATATGTAAATCCGGCCGCTTTTATGAACAGAAATTCAATTACTCAGTTGTAGTTCCTGATAATTTATGTACCACTCACATGCTTCAGTAGTACATCAGCCGAGTCAACTGTGCTCAAAAAATAATTGTAGTAATTTGAAGCGAGTTTTCAAACTGAGAAGTTTAGCTTTCAAAGTTGCGTCTTTTAGAACTTATGCGTCTCTGATATTTTCAGAATTTTATTTAGAATTGATGAACACTGTATAGTTTGACCGACATTCTAATAAATCTGTTATAGAAAAGAGTAAACAGAAAAGTTTTCATATATTCATTCTTGATACACTCTAGTTTCACTCGTGTATTTCTTTCAGTATGTTTTTTATCACCTAGTGAAGAGAAAAGTCACAAGTAAACTTCTTGCTTAGTTAATAAGCTAGGTGTAATTAATATTTGCAGTCAACTGTTAAAAAACTACCATTTAGACGCCTTGAATGCTGACACGCTTCATTATGTATAAAGCCTGGAATTAAACGTTCTCTTACCCAACTAACAGTTGTGATAAAGTACTCTCGTAAATCAAAAGCCACTAATAATTCCGTGTTAATTTGGCTAGCACTTACTGGCTCTGAATAAAATTTATATAGGCTCCATATGAAAGTAGCTCGTTCATTAATAAGCATAGATGAATAAAGCCATCATTAATGCATTTCGGAATCCCAAATATACCCTGTTGAGGTCCTCCAATCGAAACAACGGTGCCAACTTTCGAGAAATTGCATTTTTGGACTAACGCTCTAACAAATAATCCACCCTGTGATATACCAATCATATGTAAACCATTAGATAAGTTTTTGTCTTCATGTATCATGCGACAAACATAATCCAATTGATCGTTGATTGGCATGAAATATGTATCTTCAATATCCTACAAAGAGGGTGAAAAATAAGTGTCCAAAAACTGAAATCAAAGTCAGAAAGATTGCCAAAAAGTAAATAGAATTATTATCTCGGTACTGAATTGGTTGCAACTTATGGCGATATATACAAACATTCTAAGTTTACGGTAGATGGATAAACGGCCAAGCTGGGCAGGGAAAAGTAAGAGGACCAAATCAGGATGTGAAAAATTTTGGCGGTTGTCTGTATTTACTGTGACATTCATGAAAGTGAACTAATCTTATTTGGTGCTCCAAGTTGTTTATAAGTCCACAGATAACATAAAATGCTCGATAAGACTTGAATTTCATTGTCTAGCGAAGGCGTATACTAAATTGTTTGATTTGATATCTAATAATTCTTATGAATCATCATACTCGTAATTCATCATTTTTACAACAGTCTGTATTTACTAGAATCTAGAACCAGAAATACATTTTTCAAATAACCAAAAGTGTACCAATACTAAAGTTCTTAGATTCGAGCAATAGTCCAATCTTTTAAAGTCGATTTTTCCAGACCATTTGATGTTTTAGTTCAATGTCTATCATATTTATTTTCATAACTTAAGAGCTCCTTGCATAGTTCTTGCTCCCAGTGATATGGGATGCATTCGGAATTTGAAGATGACAAACATATGATAACGTTCTTTTCTCTTGGTCTATTTAATAAAGAAGGTGGTTAGATTATATTACTGAACTAAAAGTTAGGTTTGATCAAAATGAATAGCTCAATAACGAGGATTAACAAACATCATGTATTTAATGTTTGTTACTCGCTGATTCATCAGTTATCTAGCTGCATATGCACAACAGTAATTTTTAAGTAATACAAATACTAATACTTGTATACTGACATTTATCCAATTACAACTCATATGAGGTTTTTTCTTCTTATCCACAACTAGTAGTTCAAAATATACACTTCAGTTAGTCAGTAATATAATGGTTATTCAGATGGTAGGTGTTCATTTCGGATCATTTTAAGTGAGATAATTTTTTCGACAGAAATCTATGTAAGAAAGTCAAATTTTATTATCCCCAGAGAGTCTGCAGGAACATTTAGTGTAACCGAAATCATTTTTGAAGTAATCTATTCAAAAACTCATTTAATACTTATCATTTTTATACTTCATCAAAAGTTCACTGTGTGTTTCTTACTTAAATATAACTTTGTTGTGCAGAATTTAAACATGAAATGTACTATTTTAGTAAGGGGTCTTAACCACGACTTGGGACGCCTTGATTTGATTAGTAACTAATATCCTATAAACAAAAGTGAAAGATCACCTATTCGTTTAAAATAAGCTGTCAGAAACTTATGAAGTTCGAAAATCATTTGGATTCGCTGAATGAACGCTTACCACAAATTATAGAACGATGAATATCCAGAGTTATCTGCTAAGCATTTATTGTTCGTTTCAAAAGCCAAGTAGCACCACGGGGTAGATAAGTGTTTATTAACTGCAACTTATGCTTGAACCTCTCCACTCCGAGTGTAGTTAAGGTATATGATTTCGTTTTAATAGAAAATGTCCTAAGGACTCATTCAGTCTTATTCCCCATAAACTGAAAATGTATTCAAAGTCTAACTCAGAACAAAATTACTGACCTAAACATTTGGTTACCTTAATATGCACAGTTATCCATGAAAATCAATTAAATTTCTTTTACTACTGGCAGGGGGTCCAAATCAGTCTGACGTAACTATCGTGTGTAGTGCACAAAATCGCCAGCAATTTATTTTCATTTTATCAATATTAATTTGTATTATATGTAGTAGTATACTCTATTCTCTGGATACAGATTATTTTCAATATACGAAGGCTTACTAGGAAGATAACTATGTAGTATTTTGTCACGTTTTCGAAACTGTTAAGATAGTATATGATCGCTAATTCTAAAAGTTTAAACAGCATAAAGAGTGCTTTCCTAAAGCTATTATTGTCTGTCCTTTAGAAAACTGAGATGCACAAGATATCTGTTCTCACTCAACAGAAACTAAATTTGTAAAATATTAAATTGCCATTTAGCTGTTCACGTATTTAGCTTAAGTAGACTTGGTACATTGCATAATATACACTTACATAAAGTGTATATAATTTACACTTCATATGATAACTTATTATTATGATACGTTATCCAGAAACACATGTTCCCATACAAAGATTTACTCACCTCAATTACTGAGTCACTAGTGGTAATGCATTTGACATATGTCCCAGGTATTTCCTTTTGTATCGCAGTAGCCAGCTTAAGTATACCCATACCTGTCCCTCGATCGCCTTCAAAATAAGCGAGCCGCATAAAACAACAAACCCATCCCGTGCCAGATAATAACTGGCAACTTTTCTGTCAATGTACATGATAACTTTAAAGTCAGTAAAATCCACGCTAACAAATTGTGCATAACAAAAATGTTCTGACCTAGAGCCAATATCCAATATGTATGTCACGACCTTGTTTAAAGCAATCAAAATTTCTGTGCCCACTTCTTGTTGTTTCATTACGGTTACAGGTATTTGGTAATGTCCAGTGAGTGCTAGTCTAGCCACTCAACTGCACTAATTCTAGTCAGTTTAGTAGTTATTTATAGATTTGTATATCCTGAAATTCGAGTGAGTGTGTTTGTCTCTGAGCTGTGTGAATTCTGGATACTAGCAGCTACCATGATACCAGGTAGGAGGTTGGCTGGTTACAATGTGAAAATAGTAAAGTGACAGTAGTGCTGCTAAGAGAGGTTGATCGTCCCAAGAATAAATAAGTAATTTACCTAATAGGTATTACTTAAGAGGACAAAATAGGATTATGGAAAGGAGAAGACAATAAGTGATATGGAAATTAGTTGCTGACATGAAGTAATGACAACAGTAGGTAAGCTGTGATGCATGCATCGGGCACAGCTGGTCCGAGGGGGGATGGTAATCCATGCGTGAGTACGTGTTTATGAAGTATCATCTTCAAGCTATCCATTGAGAGTGTTGTGGTCACCTCAGATGAGATAGCGTTTTGAATGGTAATAACTCTGAATGAGAAAAGTGAAAGCGTAATTGAGACTTCGCTTTTTAATATGCATTAGTTTGGGTAGTGTCTTGAGATGAGTGGTGGTGATGTTGTAATAATATGCCTTGATGTACTTAGTATGTTGCGTACCGTAATCAAAATACCTCTTATTCTCCTACGGCTCGATGTGAACATTTTCAGATGCTGGTGTCTGTCATCGTGAAATTCATGCTTTATCCCTATCATCCACTTGGTTGCTCATCTCTGTAACTGGTCTAAGGAATTTATATCTCTTTTGAAGAGGGGGGACTTCAAGTTGGAGTGATCGGCACGTTTTAAGCAGTTTTGGGAACATCTGTCTGGTGACCATGCCTAGTTGTCTCGACATTTAGTGAAGAGTTACATTTGGCTTAGCTCCTGTGAAATCGAGGAATAATGCATGGACAGTTATCTTGTTGTCCAAGCGATTAGTTCTCTTACGTTGGTGTAGAAACACTTGATGTTTGGAGTAGACCTAGTGATATTCTGAATCATCCCCATCAGATGTAAAGGATTAGTAACTCATGTAAATAAACAACCTATATTGATCTAAGTACTTGAGACAAGTCAGAAAAATGGAGGATAAACCATAATCAGGGAATGTGCAGACAGGTGCACTAAGCAAATGTAATATGACGACTGTCAGATTTAAGTCTAAATGTAAAATAATGTTCGGGCTCGGAATTCAACTGCCTAAGTAACCACAATAATCCGGACTACTTGGGAATTGACGTAGTGAATGGAAATTTTTACTTCACGATGTTTGCATTTCTAGAATGGTAATCAGTTATCTTACATTAAGCGTGACTTTAAACTCGTGCGACGCTGTAGCTATACATGGTCAATATTTTGGCAAATGTATCAGAAAAGTTACAAAGATGGGTTTGACCAATTAGCATAAACTGGCTAACGAACATGATGAACCTTTTTATAATGCAACCAATGAGCTTCTGCGGACATAAATAATATGAATCTTCTGACTGAGTTTATGAATCTATCAGTGTTAGATCACTATGGCAGGACGGCCGTTTCGTCCTACTATGGAGCGTTGCACGTGATGCCTCCAGGATTCCAATGGTGGTTCAACACTGATCGATTCATGATCTCGACAAAAATTCCAATAATCTTCATAACCTAATCCTGATAATATAAATCTAAATAAATGTACGACGTTACAAAAGCTGAAAAAAACATAGTGCTCCATCAAGTTTATCTGTCACATTACTCAGCAAGGCCTTGTATATAAGGTTATTAGGATGTCTCGAAAAAACTACAAAGAGCATGAACCCGAGCAATTCCGGAAGTCCGAGGTTCAAAACACATGCGTTGACTAGTGGAGTTAGATCTCTTTCCTTTGGTCTATTTAGATTAAGAGATAATATGGTTTTGGGGCGTATAAAACTTGCAAATGATTTTGGGCATGATCTATCCTCTCATTTTCTTTTTAGGACAGTATAACTGAGAGGACGTACCAGGCAAATGCGAAAGCCAAGAATGAGCGGGATACTTGTGTAATACAGGTTTCATACCCACTCATCAACTCTTGGAATTTTTTACATTATGAGTTGATTCTCACCTCTTTAGCCGACCCATTTAGTTTTAGTTTGGTAAGGACAGGAGGTTTGATTGCCTGTGTTAGTCCTGGCAATGACGGTCTCTCAGTTGATCCAACTGTCTTCTAAAAGATCCGACGGATAGGGCCTCAAACAAGTGCTGAGGTAATGAATTCCACTCGTTGATTGTTCGATGGGAAAGTTGATATTAGGCTGACAAGTAATTTGTTAAGGGTATGTGAACTTTTCGGATTGTCCTCGTAAATTCTCCGTTTTGGAAGGTGAGTCCATCTCAGTGCAAATTTATCATTTAAAAATTTGAAAACCGTAGTCGCGTCACCTCTAGTTCTGGGCTTGTAAACTTTACTGGAGTGTCCTCGTAAGTTTTCTGTTTTAGAAGACAAGAAAAATGAGGGCATATCAGGTGCAAATTTATCACTAAGCAATTTGAAAACTGTAATAAAGTCGCCTCTGATTCTTCGATATGACAGCGGGAATAGGTTTGGCTTGGTCAGTCTATCGTCTATTCCATGAATCAGCCTAGTTGTTGTTCTCTGAACCCTTTCCCAAAGCCCACTGTCCTTTTTTTAGGCAAGTGCTAGCTTCTTGTATGCAGTACTTAAGTTGAGGACGTACGAACACTGTAAACAAAGTCAAAAACGCTTTAGTGTCGATATATTTCGTACCTGTCTCGAAGACAGGACTTACTATGGTGTTCTTCCAGTCTTTCGGTTATCCACCCCAATTTACATATAGAATAAAGCATATACTTAAAGGGTTTGCAACAAGGTTAGCTAATTCATTTAGTAATCCACGATGCAGTTCATCGTGTCACGTGGATTTGCCTATGTCAAGCTTATTTAGCAGACAAAAGACATTGAGTTTTTAATGGCCACGTTGTCCAGTGTCTGTGTGGAGAGATTTGTATGGACTGGCGAGAAGGGTGTTTCCATGTTACATACATTGCTAAAACGATTTGAGAATAATTAGGCCTAACCAAAGTTATCTCCCACTAATGATGAAGCATTACTGTCCCCCACAGTGCTGGAATATTATCTTTTTTTGTCCTTTGGTTTATATGTGAAGACAAGCGTTTAGGACATTCTATCGACTCTTTAACAATTTTCCCTTCATACAGCCTTCTAGAATTTAACGGAGGGTCGAGGTACAGATGTTCCGAGATTCTCGATACTGAAGTTTAGTTTCATCAGTTCCCAGTAACCTGAGTCTATCCCACATTCTTCTTCTCTTACGGATAAGGGTGCCAACCTCCCTACTGAACCATAGTGGAGAGTTTCTCGGACCCCTCGGTGTAGTCCAAGGGATACGAGATGCAGTAACTTTCAAGTATAATTTTCGAAAGGCATCCCAAGCTGTATCAATTAGGGACTCCGGCTCTATTGTCCGATCTACGAACAATTCTGAGTGTGTAACATCTTGTAAATTAGATTTCCAGATGTTAGGTTTGGGTTCGGCTGATGCGTGATCGTTTCTGATAAATATAAAGAAGTCAAAGGTTAGAAATGCATGATCATATTTACCTAGGGGCAGCATTTAATCAAGGTTCGTGGCGTCATCCTCATAATGGGTCAATATGAGATCTAGTAAGGATAATTCAGAGTCCGGATAGTACCCAGTAGCTTCTTTCACATATTGTACTAGGGCAAATATGACAACTGCATCGACTAGTTCCCACTCGAAGAAAATTTCCGACAAACCAGTTCTCATATTTTTCCAATCTACTGTAGGCGCATTGAAGTCTCCAAGGATTAGACATCGACCACTTTGTGACCAAGTATTGAGACCACTTAGCAAAACCTCATTTACCTCACAGCTTGGAATGCGGTAGAACTAATCAATCAGCAGCTATTGTCCCTTGCATTTCAAACGGCAACTAACTAATTCACACGTCCCAATCTCATGGAATACACTGTCGATAATGGCAAATGCAATAATATTCCTAGTGAATAGAGGCACTCACCATCCCTTACTCTTCTGAATTCTGTCGGCTCTTACCCATGTGAAACCCTCAAAATCAAGTTCTATACTATAAATCGGCTACACCAGCCAGGTTTCTGTGACTGTGATTGTATCTGGCTTCTTATAGTCAATCTGTACACCTATTTCTGACCGCTTATTGAGCAAGCTTCGGCAATTAGTGCAACAGATCCGAAGCCCATTTAAATAACTTCGTGCCACACCCATAGTAGCTTCGGCATCATTCAATTTCGAAGCGTCACAACCCGAAAATACACGATTTTTTAGTATTTTTGGCCAGCGTCAAACCTAGGGTGTAGTTCTCTTTCTTCTTCTAGTCTTTTTACACAATCTCCGAGCAACAAATTTTTCGGGGAAAAACGCCTGAACCCTTTAGTTTATGTCCATTCTGTAAAGTAAAGTCCAGTTCTTCAGGAGATTTAAATACAACTTTAGACAACCTAGTTTGATTTAGTTTTAAGTTCGCTTGACTACCCAGTCTATAAACCTTTAACAAGGTGACTCCGTGGACATCCTGTTGCATAAGTTGAATAAATAGCTGTTTTATCAATCCAATGTCATGCTCGAAACTAGTTTTAGGTTCACAGCTTTCACTGTACTTGATTCTATGAAAAATAACTAACCTGATCAGTCTTTAATTCCACGAATACTTTTTGAGGAATGTTTTTTCTTTTATATCGTCATGTTTACGACCTGTACCCATTCATCAACTTT